CATCGCTGCCTACGCCGACGGCCAGAGGCCCGCGCATCTACATTTTTTCGCCTGACCCCATCAGTGCCGACCCAACTACACCACCACGCGCATGCCTCGCGGCGGATATGCGCAGCAGCAAGAAGGTTTCGGTCATCCCTTGAGGGTGAATCTAGCCCTGCTCGCCAGAAAGACCCCCCCCTTCACTACAACCCATGTCTAAGCAAAAGCTTGTCGAGGAGCGAGGGGAAGAAGGGAGAAGCCTAGAACCGGTTATTTTTTTCCTACCGACGGAAACTCGACGAGATACGGAGTTACACACTCTTGTGAGGAAGGCGCCTGAGGCGGTAAACAAGAGGCCCCCTGCACAGCAGTTCTTGGCAGGTACCCCAAATTTGCTTACAATTTTGTGCCCCCGCTGTGGGTTCTCGTCTGCGCGGCGGCGGCTGTTCGGTCGCGTTGTGCCGCCTTCCGCTCTCATCCCGTCATCCCGTCACCTCAACACCCTCCGGCGACCACGCCACACGACAGCGAACACCACAACCTCTGTCCATGGCGAGCGGGTACCCAAAAAGTCCTCCAGCAGGACTCGCTCGGCAGTCCTCAGACCTAGATGTGAGACAAAACTACAGCAGTAATCCGAGGAACACACGTTACTTCGTGCCGGCAACCCGACGAGTACTCGTCGGTCATATATACACAGGAGTATTCTGCTGCTCTACACGCTGTTCATGGGCAAACTGTGCGAAAGCAGGTTGTGTGTCGATTCGCCGCCCAGCAGTGTCTCCGTTCATCGATTGTTTATTTTTATCCTCCTAAACAATACCAGTCGGTACACAGGCAGCTAGCTGTAATGGTACAGGAAAACGTCTTCGGTTGTTTGCGTACCGACACGCTCGAACCGCTGTTGTAATTTGCTTCCTTAAGGCAAGGAAGGTTAATATTGGTGTGACTGCCGCCGCTGTGCAGCAGGCAACTGCTGTAGCAGCAGCAGCAGCAGCGGCAGCAGCAGCAGCAGGTACCCATGGTGGCTATATGTCACGGCAAATCCCGTAAGGTGGCCACTGGTGTACGCTGCTGCTGCAGCCAGTTGGGAAGTTGCACTGGCTTGCTTGGTTTCTGGCTCCCAGCAAGTATGGCGGACGAAGAGCCAGACAAGAGTTTGCTTGGTTTCTCCACCACTGCCTGGTGGGGGGTCACTTACGCCGGTGAATATTTCTGCTGTGGGACGCTGGAGCGCTGTAGTTGTATTACCCGTAGCCGGCTTGTCGGGCCTTACGACGGTTGTGGTGGGGGTTCCGCGAACTGCCGACGGCAGGAGATCAAGCGCGAGAACGCTGCGCAAACGAGATGGGCTTGTTAGACCCAACCCTGAGCACATCCAGTGCGAACGAGGGAGGAAGGGCCGGAAATGAGAGAGCGCACACCCAGTGAGCGCAGACGAACCCACGGGCCCAACATTCCCCCATCTTACGGCGGAGTGTTTATGCGACACTTCGGCGTGTGTGCGTGGCATGGCTTACAGCAGTACGCCTCTCCTGCCACGATGCCCGGGGGACTGCTTGCGTTTCAGACCTCTCTTGTTTCGTGCCGACGTCGCTTGTGTTGCGCAGGATGAGGTGAGCTTGTATAGCAACGCGAGAGAACGAAGGCAGTGGGACAAGCTGGCGGAATTCTTCGCCATCCTTAAGACCACGGAGCACCTGGAGAACGCGCGCATCAAGAGCGCCATCGGGCGAGACGAGGTGCGACTACTGCTACGGCTGTGGTGACTACCGCCTTGACGGCAGAGCGCGATCGGTCATGTTGATATGTAGACTGATTCGTTTGTTTATTATGTGGCCGGTGTTGCTGGTGCTCTCTTTCGACGATAGAGCGAAGTGCGACACCGGTTGTCTGAAGTATGCTACAGCCTCGACTGACGCGGCCTTTCCGGACCAAGATTTACGACGATAGCTGCAAACTCGAAGAACAATCTCGGCGCCTCGTTGAACCAAGTTTTGTAGCAACCGAAATCTAACGATGAAACTACTAGAATGGTTAAACGGATTGATTTCGGTTGCTGAAGTAGTGCGTCTTACAATTGGTTGGCTCGTGCCCAGAAATCCAGTTACACCGGAATTTTTTTAGCAGAGCAGAAACTATCCCCACCTTGACGGCTACCCACCCTCCGCCTCCTCCAAATCGAAGAAGCGGCTGCTCTCTCAGACGGCGTGTGCGTTGCTTGACTCTCTTTTTCTTGGCCACCACCCCCGCCCGCTGTTTTTCGTGCGGCGGCGTCCGTTTCGCCGTTACCTCCTCCTCTGTGGTTGGCAGTACACCCGGGAATGCTCCGCCCTCATCTCGCAGTACAAGGACGCAGAGAGCGCCTTGCTCGCGGATGGGAGCATCACCAGCACCGTGTGAGCTCGCGCCGCTTTGAGAGACTTGTCGGCGTTGAATATTGGTTCGAGGTGGAGCGCGATGCTGACAATATCTTGGGGGCACGGGTATGGGCTTGCTTGAAAATACGGTTCTCGCGGTTGATTACGTTTCCCTAGCGTTTGTCGCCGTCATACATACCTGGTACATACGTTTTGCGAGTTCTTGTTTGTTCTGGGGCGTCGCTTGTTTCTCGGTAAAATGAATGCTTGAAGATTGTCGGTAACGGATGCGGTTGATGACGGCGAGCTGATTTGCTCACGACCGTCGAAATTTGGTTTGAGCGGACAGGACAAATGAGCATCGTCGTTGACCACGAAAGAAAACATGAGCTGTCCTGCGCTCCCTAGTCATCCACTTGTCTCCCTCTTTTCCCCTTGCGTCGTGTGCGACAGCGATTTTATCAAGGAATACCAGCTAGATTGCCCTTATGCGATGGACCGGCTGGTCAAGTACGGCGTTCCCGCCACGGTCTTGCACCGACAAGTAGACGAGAGGGATCAGATCGGCAGGGCGCGCCAGGCGGCCGAAACGGTGAGTCTTCCGAAGCTCGCTGGTTCTATAAAAGTAGATGGCCTTTTTTTCTTGTTGTACAAGTACAAGGCCGGTGTTTCTGTACGTACGTCAAGAGTGCCCCCGTCCTCATGCCATTCGACGGATATCGTCATCCCCATCCTTAACAGCTCTACCGCCGTCGAAGAGCGCACCTACTACCACAAATAGAAAAAGCGCGGGGAAACAACCGAAGAATTGGGCTGAGGTGTGCCCCCGCACCGGATCGTACAACAGGGTAGCCGCGAAGCTCCAATTGGCACGCCTGTCTTGTCGACAGTCTGATCTGTTGTTTTCCGATTGCAAGAAGAGTTTTTCGGCCATGCGTCCACATTTCAACAAGGCGAGAGATAGGGGTCGCCTTGTGCTTGCATGACGACACAGCCATGTGCTGTGGCTCGAGGGTATTATAGAACTTTTTCGTTTCGGGTCTTGACGAAACAGAACCGTAGCTTGCTCGATTCACCCCTTCGAGAATCGACACTGACGGTTCAACTAGTGCTGCTCTTTTTTCCCTTTCAATACTCCCAGAAAGTCCGCCTTCCTGTCCCCCCTCCCTTCATGTGGCACGTATGCTGTGTTTCCAGACGCAATGTTTCATCACCGCGATGGACGCCTTGAAGCTGGAGCAGAGGGCTGTCGATGAGGTGCAGCCGCTCATCTACGACCTCTCGGACCGGTTGAACAAGGTGGGCCATCTACAGCAGCAGCGTTTATATTGCTCGATGGGGGGGGGGGGAGGGGGGGGGGGCGGAGTTTGCNTGAAGCTGGAGCAGAGGGCTGTCGATGAGGTGCAGCCGCTCATCTACGACCTCTCGGACCGGTTGAACAAGGTGGGCCATCTACAGCAGCAGCGTTTATATTGCTCGATGGGGGGGGGGAGAGGGGGGGAGTGCGGAGTTTGCCGCCACACTCGAGCCCCAAGTTCGAGTGGTAGCCTGAGCTCTATTCCTGCCCCATCCTTAAGACCCTCTGCTTTCTGTGTCTCTACTCCACTGCCCTGGCACGCCCGAAATCAATGTTTGGCATTACCTTCTTGACCTGACATTTTGATCCTGCGTAACTCAAAACGTCGCCGTCACTCCCATAGAGTAGAACCACGACCCCGAATTGTCTGCAAGCCCTAAACTCACTCGTCTTGTCCGCTCCCCAGACACTCCGAGTGTTGTGCCATGCAACTTTTTTGGACACGCTACATACATGCTGTACCCCGGTGTTTTGGTTCCAAGGTGGACGGGCTTCCGAACGACTACGAGGGGACACAGAAGACTCGGGAGTGGCTGGTGACTCTGAACGCCATGCGGGCGGCCGACGAGCTTTCGGAAGACCAAGCGCGGCAGCTCTTGCACGACCTCGACACGTCCTACAGCGCCTTCTTCCGGTACTTGGAGATGACACAAAAGCCGTAACGACCTTGCTACAGTACTATGACGCACCACTGCACACGGTGGCGGGATGATGTCGAAATGAACACGAGATAGGTTGGCCTCTTGGAAATATGATCCCCGTGTGACATGCTTGCGTGAGAAGGCGGGGCACTGGGATAAGGAGCATCTCCATAATGACACTCGTGGCAGAGAGGTAGGAGGCCGTCGCCAAGTGAGCCGTGTGGCCGTGTCTTACTGTGAACACGTAGTCGGGAGGCGGTGGGTGGGCTCCACGCAGCTTTAACCGGGGCTCTGTGCCAAACGGATGGACGTGAATAAACGGTTGGATCCCTACGGGCAAATTGGATGTGTTGTTTCAAAACTTTCCCAGAAAACGGAAGGTGGCGTTCCTTGCCTAGGCGTTGCGCGCTCGTCGGCATTCATAGGACCTTTCGAGATGAGGGTTTGGTTGGTTGCAATGGGAAGTTACGACGGGCGACTTTTGAATGTTGTGGTGCTGAGTGTTTTTGTTCTGGGGGGAGGGGGGGAAGGGAAGCCTGTCGTAGAATCCTCTTTGCGGCAAGGATGTGCCGCAATGATGTTGACTATGGTAGGTATGTGCAGAGTGGAGTTGTTGTAAAGATACCCGTAAGGCCATAGATATACGTGGGCGTTTTTGAACTGAAAAATGCAATGTCAAAAAATATGTTTAACCTGTTCGAGCTGCCGGTTACGCAGCTGCTGGTAGTATCTGCTTTCTATCCCCCACCGGTGCCGAATGAGATGATACGCAATTTCCCGGAGTTTTCATGATGCAGGCCACGTCTGATACTGCTTGGTCTCACCTCCGTTTAGAAGGGTAATGGTTAAACCTCGCTGAATTCAGGACGGACATGTTCCCGTCAATTCGGGCAGACTAACGGTATGAAGCACACCAACTAAATTAGATACAAGCCGCCTTCTCTGAAAAGGTGCAGCCCACGCCAAAACGTCTCCGCGTAACCCCAATCCACAAGCCTCACCAAAGCAGTCTTCTCAAAACTTCAAAGTACAAACGGTTGAACACGTCAAATGCGTTGGGCGTCATCCTCGTCTTCAATTTCGAACCAATTCCACTTTACCCCAAATCCAGGCACTGCTGCTGCTGCAGACATGCGCGCAGAAACTTTTACAGGTTGAAGTTCTTTCTCTTCTTTTTGCTGGCGAACGCTAGCGTGTCTTCGGGCGCTGCCTGTCCGCTTCCGCCTGCTTGCCGCCCAACGCCCACACCGAACCCTGCAGAGATTGATCTCCAAGTCGCTAGATCGCCGGACAAGACGAAAGACATGACTCGCCTAGAGAGCTCCGCGGATAATGGTCCAAATTGAGACTGTTGATAGCATGGTTCCGTACGACGATTGTTTGGAGATGGAAGGGGGGGGGGCAGGGGGCGGGAGAGGATGAGCAATCACTAAAAATCAACCGGCCGACAGCTGCAAGAATAGCACTTGTTGTGTTTGCATGCTCCCTTTCCACAAACGACTTCTCCAACTTTCCTCGTGGCAAGTACACGGCTGACTAACGACGCCACACATGGAAGGGACGGTTGAGAAGCAACTACCCCGCGTCTACCCAGAAGAGGGACAATCCCCCCCTACCCCCCCCACCCCCCCCACCCCTACGGATGCCCCGAGTACACCAACCGTCGAGCCCCTCACCTGCTTGGCCCCCCACCCTGCCGAGCGGATAACCGCCCTTGCGACCTCTCTTGGTGGAGTCTGGCCCCCGCCGCACACCGTAAAGGTCCTCATGTTCTTCACGAGGAACCTTAGCGCCGGCAGGGGCACGTGCAGCATCGCCTGCTTCGGCAGCGTGGAGCACGCCCCGGCCTTGTCGACGTGGATGAAGGACGAGTCGTCCCAGACCGTGATAGCCCGCCCGTGTGCCCGGCAGGTCAGAGAGAGAAGCTCCAGGCAGCCGTCGAAGCCTGTGTTGCCCGGGGCGGGCGAGGCCTTCGAGCACACACGGGTGTTGATCACTTCCAACGGCGCGAACGGTCGCAAGTACTGTAGCACCACCTGCCCGACATCAACGGAGATGGGGGCGGCGGCTTTTCGTTGCGTGCTTTGGTTACACGTGACCTCACTGGCAAAAATCGCGTTCCTTTACGGCAGGGACCAGAGGAGAATTCGGGGCATGCAGATTCCAACTATTTCGACTCAAGTTGCTTTCTTTTTTTGTCAGCTTCCAACCAAAATTGCACGCCGTGAGTCAGTGCACCAGTTCCACTTACAACAGGCTCCTTGCGTATTCGTGTGACGCGTTGCTGCTCCGAAGTCTCCACATCTCTTAACTTATCCTCTTAACACTCGTTCGCAGCCGAGGGCGAATGAAACACCCGCCCCATCCCTCGACTCTCATCCGCAATTTAGTCCGAGTCCGAAACCACACCACACCGCCCACGCCGACGCCATCTCCACGCACCTCGTTGTGCCCGCACGGCTTTCCCCACTTCCCGCCCCACTTTTCCGGGTCCGGCGTGTCAGGATTCGGTTTCCACTTGGCCAACGCCACCGTCGCCACCCCCCGTCCCACCACGTCTTCTCCATCGGCACCTCGCCTCCCCGCCTCCCCCTTCTTGGCGTGCTCAACTCGTGCGCGCAGCTCCAGAGAAGCGGTGTCGCAGCTGGCTCCCGTCCTGACGCTGCCGCCCCAGCTCCCGCCGAAGAGCTTCCCGGTGGCCCCGTCGAGCCAGCGGGTCTGTGCGGCAGCTCTGTCATCGGCCGCCCCCGCCCTTCTTCCTCCGGCACCAGCAGCAGCGGCAGCAGCAGCAGCAGCAGCAACTAACGGCCCGCTGTTGGCTGCTTGGTGCTGAGGCGGTCCGTGGATCATGCCCAAGATTACCATCTTCTTGCGGAGTTCCTTAGCGGATTGGTATGCGTTCTTCGGCGCGGGGGTAAAGGCGGCCGCGGAGCCGCTCCCCCCCAGCGCCGCCGAAGGCGGGGGCAGAGGCGACAGCAGCGGCTGGCAGAGTAACACGCTTACCTTCTGTCGGAGGGCGACCGCCCGCTGCGCGTGGGCACGTTTTTTCTCGCGCTTGGTGGCCTCTGCTCCGCTCTCGTTGCTGCTGCTATTGAGAAAGGACGGAAACGGGGGGTTGGAGGGCGACGAAACATCGGTGATCCAGGCGCGGTGTCAGACCTACCGCGACAGCTCCTTAGCGACCGATACACTGACTTGAGGAGGTGATGTCAAACTAGGCGCGAATGTCTTCCTCAAGTTTACACTGGGCGGAGGAAGTGGCATCGAACCAGACGCGAATTTCTTCCTCCACAATGAACTAAACTGAAGAGATGTAACACAGGCGGGGGGAATGACATCATGAACATCTGGTTCGGCAAAGACAGCAGAACAAGCAAAGAGTATGGTCGACGGCCGGGGAATGAAGACATGGCAATGTTTTCCCGGTGACTGCGAGCTCGCTTTGAAGGCCGGTGACAAATCACTACCAATGGAAGTGTCGTAGAAGGTGTACAACAACGGGCGGAATGCGTGTGTGCTGTTCGGCTTGTCCCAAGGGTTGGGGGAGGAGCACGGCCACCTCCAGGAGCACAACAAGTATCTCCCCTTAGATTCAGAAGTTCAAGACTGTGTTTCCACCAGGTTTTACCGCCCTCACCTCTGCTCATCCCACTCTAGGCCCGCAGCGGCAGCGGCTCGATGCATGCCCCTTTCTTCCCCCTCGCCAGCACTCAAAGCAATCGCCCTCGACAGCTTCTTCGCAACGGCGAGCCTGACGCACGCACGCCACAATCGAAAGTTATCACCAGATGGCGCATGGAACTTCGATTTCTTTCAAGGATGGCTCAAATCTTCGTGACTAGGTTTATACCCCCGGCATAGGTTTTGGTGATGAGCCAACGTAAATAACAACGTAAGCGTGCCGCCAGGGACCTTGCCAGCAGTACGAACATGTACGATTCCCCACCGTGCTCAAGAAGGAAGAGCTAGGGCCGATGGGAGTAGACGTTTACCACACAAACACCCAAGCCAAACCCTTTTCGAACCTCGAGCGGATGCCCCCCATCGCCGTGCTGTCGAATGAAAACGGGGCCAAGCCCGCCGCCTCCGCTCCTCCCCGCAGGTACACCTCCTCCGCCGCCCCTGCCCCCCGCCCACGAAAAAAGCCTCCGACGACACGAGCCCTCGCCGCCGCGTTCTTTTTTCCCTCTGGCGCGTCGAAATGAACGACCCTCAGGAGTTTCCCGTGGCCTGGCTTGACCGATCCGATGGACGGCGGCGTGCGGGATATCGCCGAGTTGGTCAGGACCAGCACAGAACTTCTCTCCGAGGAGGTCGCCGCCAGGAAACGCTTGACATGTTCCTGGGTCTTGTGTGTTTTTTTTTAGCCGACCGACGAGACAGAGACGGTGGGGGAGCACCAAAACATAAGAAAGGCTGCGAGGGTTGCGTGCCTTAAACGGCTGTATGTACCGAGCGCGTGTTCATTGGCGCATGTTTGACGTTGCGCCATCGGTTCGCGTCCTCCACAGGTATCCTTGCTCTGCTTCCTAAGCGGGGAGTTTATAAGGTTTGACTGACCCACGGGGGCTCGTATGTGTATACGTGTCTCTGCTGACCGTGCTACAATAGTGTTACGTACGTGAGCTCACAACGGCGGTACAGCAACATGGGTACGGGATCTCCAGAGCTGGGGTGAACAACGCTGCAGCTATTACGACAACAAGAGCAATACACCATTGCTGTCGCCTGTCTACCTGTGCTTTCGGCGTGCGGTCGTGGACAGCAAAGGCCACGAGGCTTAGCGCCTTAAGCTCCCCGACCAGCTCCTGGGCAACGGCGGTCGTCTTCACAAAAACCAGCGCATGGCACCCCCCTTCAATGGCGGTAGGATCATCGGGAATACTCTCAACCTCGCCGGACTGCTGCTGCTGCTGCTGCTGCCCTGGCTGCTGCCCTGATGTTGCACACAGCTCTGATGATCGTGTCGTCAAGAGATAGTACAGCTGCTGCTCACGGGAGTGGTGCTTGGATGAAAAAATGTACTCAGCGACCCCACCACTGCTGGCGACAGCAGACCTAGAGGGGGGAGCATCGAAGTCGTCGCTGTCATCACCGTCGCCGGGGGCAATCAAGTCTGCTAGCCCTAGCCCCCTCTTCCTCTTGCCCTTCTTGCCAGGCTTGCCCTTCTTGGCTTGAGGATGTTGTTGCGGCGTGGAATTGGAGTGGAGATTCCGCTGCGACACCACGACCAACCCTCCTCCTTTCCTGGAGGGTTTGGGTGTTCGGCACTGCTTCTTGCTGGACTTGGCCATGGTATTTGTGTGTATTTGGCGTGGCGGCTCAGCCGAACCTGCCGCTCGCCATCAAGAGCAAAAACTTGACAGTCCCGCGCGACCACTGAAAAAACGAAAATAACGTGCTATCTGTATATATTTTTTTGTTTTGTGTTTGTTGTTGGTTTGTTTTTCTCCCATCATTGGACTCTGTCGTCTGCCCCTCTGGCCCCTATCTTCCACTTCTACTAGCTAGACGACCCAACCGGGGTCACATAGGAGGGGGAGGTTGGACCCCCTCCTGCGGTTCATGCCTGAGGTATTTTTATCACGAGAAGGGTACAGCAATCCCTTCCCTCGCGACTTGCGAAGTCGATTATGGTTTGTTTGTTTTCTTGTATTTTATCGCTCTGCTGACCCTTGGGGTCCATTTTATTTTGGTATACCTTTTCTAGGTACGTTAGCCTGTGACCACGGAAATTGGCCGAGTCAAGTGATGGATTAGTACGGAGAGATTGAGACAGAAGGAGGTACTGGATAGAGAGACCGGAATGGTTTTTAATGTGAAGACAACAACAACACAACAACACA